TGAGTTCATCCAAAATTCTGCCGCTTATATCCTAACTTGCACCAAACCCTGTTCACACATCACCCTTTTGCTCACTGATCTATGTTGGCTGCTCATCTAGCCACATCTTGATTTTGAAATTTTGACCCTTGTTTTCAGATCCCTCCAGGAAATCCTCCTCCCTATCTTCCCCAGTCCCAGAAGACTCCTGAGGTCTTTTGCATGACCCCAGTGCTGGCCTCATACACATCCCCAATTTTAATCATTCTGAATGGTGACCATGTCTTCAGTTACTTAGGTCCTAACTTCTGGAATTCCCCTTCCTAAACCTTTCCATCTCTTCACATCTTTCTATTCTCAAAAAGCATTGTTTAAACCCACTGGCTTGTTTAAACCTTTGGTCATTTTCCTAAAATAATGTTGTGACATATGGTTAAATTTTGTTAGAATGTTGTTGATAACTGTCATGTGAGCTGAATTGGAATATTTTACTACATTAAAGATGCAAATTGAATGCAAGTCGTTGTTAATTTCTGGAAATTGAAAAGACAGCTAGGTGGGGAGCAATAGGTGAAAGGCAACAAACAATTCTATTAAGATAGGGGTTGAACTAGATTGAATCTCTTGTAATTTTTAAAATTTATATCTTGCTGTCTTTGTGTTTCATTCAGAAGGTGACATGACTCCAAACCCAGTTTAAGGGGACAGATGATGATCTAATAAAAGAACAAAAAAGGATTGATCAGCTGGAGATTCTTAGCTCTTGCGAGTTCACTGAATAGGTGCTCAGTTATTTTTTTCAACGTACTTGGGATAAAAAGATGGGGATGAAAATGAAAATAAAATGGAGGAAAGAGTGGGGAGAGAACATCGCACAAGAAACAACTCTTTCTAACTACGGTACAGTGTAATGATTCACAGTGACCTCCTCAAATGTTCCGAGTGTCAGGAAATGAAAAGGAGTTTATGAAGGAAATTTTGGATTTAAAGAAATGTCATCTGCAAATAAAATGGCAACTGATCTGAAAGCCTCAGTATTTGAGGAGGCTTGTTTCGTGGATTCTGGATTGAATCGCCATGATACAGAAACACACCAGTTCTATGCTCACAAATCCTGCAACATATAGCAGGGATGAGCTTAAAGTAAATAAAAACAAATTGGAAGCACAAACATTTAGAAGATAAATGGTGCCAATGAAAGATACTTTGAGTCAACGGAAATCCAAAATTGATTGGAAAAAAAGTTTGATGAATGAAGGAAGGGAAACATCTGCGGTGTTATTGCTGCTATAGAAGGTAATGCTCCAATATTAAAAGGTAATTCTTCACAGAATGTAATATAAGAAAAATAGGTAGGGTTTCACAGTACAGAAACATACCAAAGTGGCATTTATGTTCCATACAACTTTCCTCATTTCACACCAATACAAATTGCTCCTATTCCTTTCTTGTTATCCAGCAAAGGACTCAGATTCAATTCCAGCCATGGCTGACCATTTGTGTGGAGTTTGTATGTGTGAGTTTCTGCTGGGTGCTCCTACAGTCAAAAGATGTACAGGCTAGGTGGATTGCCCATGCTACGTGGATTGCCTATGCTACATTGTCTGTAGTGCCCAGGGATGCATGGGCTAGATGAGTTAGCTTTGGTAAATGTGGGGTTATGGGATAGGCTGGGGTCTGGGTGAGATGCTCTTTGCATGATTGATTGGTTTTTGCACTTTAGCAATTCTCTTGTGGACATAGGTATGGTTTAGTTCTCCACAACTTTCATAGTCAAGAGTTGTGGTTCATGGCACCTTTGTTCTGTCCTGAACCATAGTCTGAATGACCTTCTCCTGAGGGGGCGAGGGGGAAAATAATATTGATTAAAAACTGAAAGAATTGCAAATGCAGTAAATCAGAAACAAAATGCTGGAAAAGAAATTGCTGGAAAAGCTCAGCAGGTCTGGCAGCATCTCGGGTCCTGAGGAAGGGTCACTCGACCCGAAACATTAACTCTGATTTCTCTCCACAGATGTTGCTGGACCTGCTGAGGTCTTCCAGCAATTTCTGTTTTTGAATACATGCTGATGTTTTCTGAGAGACAGAAATTCATTGCTCTGAAACTCTTGAGACTCTGCCTGATTGACAGCAGATTAGGGATTATAATTGTGCTGTCAAATTCACAATTTTTAGTTAGACAAAGTTAAAAGGTTTAAAGTGCCTGAAGTTTCAACAAAAATGGTTTTGAAATCTTTTCTTAAGAAGCAACAGTTTTGGTGAATGACAATTGTGCCAACCTTTGGGCATAATCTGGGTAAACTGATCTGACAGTAGCCCACACCTCCACCCCTGTAATAAATAGCCCATCTTACCTGGTACTTTCTGGTTGGAAGTGGGAGGGGGAATTGAAAGTCCAAGGTAGAAGGTGTAGGTGGGGAAGGAAGGCTATAGGGAGATTCAGGATGTCACGGGATCAAAGGAGTGGGGTACTGGGGAATTAGTGGGACAGTGCAAAGACTAGGTCAGAAAGGGTTTGTGGATTGCAGGGTGGGGTGACCAATCAAAACCATGAGTGAGTCAGTCACAAACTATTTTAATTCAAGCAATGTGCAATGAAGTAGAACTGATACGAGATTTTGTAGTTAATGGCCACAACATATAACAATTTCAAATTCAGTTTAAAGGGGAACAATTCAAGTCTCAATCTAGTATCGTCAACTTAAGTAAAGGCAGAGTGATATGAAGAAAAAAAAAAAAAGTGTTATCTAAAACTGATTGGGAAAATAAACCAAGGAGGAAATCAGTAGATGAGCAGTGGCAAACATTTAAGCAGATATTTCATAACGCTCAGAAAAAAAATGTATTCCAGTCAAAAAAGAAGGACTCAATGAAGAATGAACCATCCATTGTTAAACAAAAGGAGTCAAGGATAATATCGAAGCAAAATCTAAGCATCCAAAGTGGTGAAAATTAATGGGAAGCAGAGGATTGGGAATTTTTAAGGAACACCTGCTGGATGACTAAAGGACTAATAAAAAGTGAGAAACTGAATTCGGAAGTGAATTGACAAGAAATAAAAAAGATGAGGAGTTTCTACAGGGGATATAAATCAAAAGAAGATAAATCAAGTAAGTCTGAGATTCATGAAGAATGCAAATAGTGCATTAATAACAGGAAAGAGGGAAATGGCAAATAATTTCAATTAATATTTTTCATCTGTCTTCATGGTAGAGTATACTACAACCAGCCCAAAGATAATAGGTAAGCAAGATGAGAATGGGACGAACAATCTTGTAACATTCTCTATCATGAGGGACAAAGTATTTGATGAAATAATGCAACTAATGACAAATAAATCACCTGGACCGATGGCCTGCATCTAAGGGTTTTTAAGGAAGTGGCTGTAGACATAGTGGAGGCAGTGATTGTAATATTCCAGAACTCATTTGAAAACTGAGTTGCAAAGAAATGCCTTCTCCCGGAGTGTAATGAATGTCGAGAATGCTCCACATTGTGGAGGCTAGATCACTGAAAGTATTTAAAGAGGAGAAGACAGATTTTTGAAGTGCTAAGCAGTTGAGGGACATGAGGAGCTGCACAAGAGGAGTTGAGACTTGGGGCAGAACAATCACGATGTTGTTGAATTCTGGGCAGATTTGGAATAAGTTACTCCTGCACCGTTTTTTTGTGGTTCACATCCCAAAAGTGGTTTTGGGTGAGGCTTGGAGAGAATGGAGGTGAACGATTACTGCAGCTCTGCCTCACAAGCAATGTTGGAAAGGCACCTCATTGCTGAATGTAGAATTCCTCACCTTTGTTTACCTACTCAAGCTCCAGGTCAGGATTAGGCATAATTAGAAAATAATGTGGGGCATGTATCCTCACAAAAATATTTAAATGTCTAACCTGCTACCCGAGGGCAGGTTGGTGAGCACAGCTGGTGTCCCCTTCCCTTGAACCAGAAGTGAATGGGTCTGGGGCTGATGGGTTCAGGTTTGAAACTTTAACAAGACAACATCTGACCAAAAATCAAATCCAAACCTGTCCAGAAAGGACATTAAAACCATCGAGAGCATAAAGTGTAATCTCACCAGGGTGATACAGAAATGGAAAATTATAACTTGAGGAGACACCTGAGACATTGGTTATTTCCACTACATAAGAGGAGGCTAAGAAGAGATTTAATGAAAATTTTTAAACTTATGAGCAATTTTGGCAAAGTAAATAGGGAAAGATTATTTTTTCCCTCTTTACGAGCTAGAGATGAAGGGAATCAGAAGGAAACTTATTTATGCAGCAAGCTATCGGAGCAAGGAACGACGTGTCAGAGACAGTGGCTGAGGAATCGTTTGAAGGGCATTGGGGACAGTTTTGAAGCTGAGGAAAATAGCGAGCTATGGAGAGCACACAGGACAGTGGAATTAGTTTTAAATTGTTCTGACAAAGAACTGACGCAGATGCAGTCGACCATGAACTAACTTCCATCTGTGCTATGATTCCTTAGTTTTATCAAATTGAGATATCAAAATTTCACCCTTCCTTTCAAGAATTCTCATGCTCATTGTCAGAAAGCATTTAGAAGTATTTGTTTTCCTCATTTAAATAAGTGTGCCACTTCAATTAATACTATCAATGAGCTAAAAATGCTGACAACCCTAGTATTTGAATTAAACCAGAAATTGGTGGAAAAAGCAGTTTCAATTGAAACCATTTTGTTTTTAAATGCAATGTAGCACAAAATTATGTTGATCCTATTATGCTGATTGCTTTTAATTGCTTACAAGGCAATATGTAATCATAACCACTTTTACCAATTACAGTGAATAGCAAATGGCATCTGGGAACTTGTTCAAGAACCAGGAATATTAACATAACAGGATACACCAAATATATTCAGCTAATATACACAACATCTGGAAATTAAGCCTCTAAGGCAACTGGTGTGCTGCAAATCATGCTATCACAACATGCTTATTTATTAGTTTCTTAATCTCCTTGGATCAACTAAATTATTTAATGTTGCAAATAAGGTTCACGGAACAGAGTTTTTAAGATCACCATGCAAAATATGGAACATACAAAGACTGACAAATCTGACATTGCGGCTTGTTGATAGTCCATTAAAAATTTAAAATGGTTGCAAATCCTGGTTATGCAGACTCTTGACAATAAATACACTGGCCAGCCATCTGACTATAATTCAGTCTTAGTTATCCTTACTGTAAGCTGTTCCATTCCTTTCGAAGACTGGTATTTCAAAGAAGGTCTAGCCCAGTTTGTTGTCTTGCTGATATGATATGGTTTTAGCCTTTAAGAATATAGGAAATAGGAGCAGAAATATTGGCTGATCTGATTGTGACCTTAACTCAATTTTCTTGTTTACCCTGCCAGAACAATTGGATGGTATGCTGGGTCATTTTGAGAGAGAATTTAGGGTCAATACATCACCATAAGTGGGCCAGAACAGGTATTGGCAACAGCTTTCATTCCTAAAAGATATTAATGCACCAGCATTTTTTCAAAATCTGTTAATTACATGGAGTGGATTTGCATTTCATATTGATTTAATGAAGTAAACTTTTTATTCTGCTCGTTACTATGTTGGCATTTGAATTCATATCTCCAAAGCTTTGGTCCAGGTCTCTGGTTTGCTAGTCCTGTAACATTACCACTTTGATGCCTTTCTTGCAGGTGATGGTATTCTGTTAAGAAATAGATCAATGTTCATTATTACAGCCTACTGTAAGATTATCATCTTGTACAAACTTAGCTACTAAGGGCTTCCTCCACTTTAATGGTACTGAATATTGTCACGAGCCATCCCACTGTTGTCTAATATTTCCCTGCAACTGGCAATACGTCATTATTGGCAGGCCAAAAGACAAGAATGTTCACTTATCACCCTTAAAATAGGTGTGTTGTTGGGGTTGGAGTGAGGAAGTCACAGAAATTTGTATCAATTTAAATTAATTACTTGGTTTAATGCATTATATTTATAATATAACATTGATGCATAACATTCTAGACACATGCTGATTTTCACTGTGATACAGATTTGGATTTCTGTTATGAGTCTCCCTCATACTGAGGTAGATTTCAATGTGCTGGTGTAAATTGTTCCATTGGTACAATTCTTCCTCAAATGGAAACGTATCATTGCCATCCATGGTAATCTAACAAACACTGTGGAAGGGCCATATCTTTTTATTTTACTGGATTTTTAAACTGGACTGAAATGTGGAAAAGATTGTGCTTTAAAAACTAAGGATTATGGAAAGTATTACTGCAATTTTCTTTTTGAAAGCAAGTTACCTGGCACTCATTGTAAATTGAGTAAACAGCTGCTTGTTCAAGCAGTGGGGATATCTAGATTTAGACAAGCTAGGCTCTGCGGACTGTGCACAAATGGAGATTTGACTGGCAACTAATAACTGATTGGTCTGTGGACTGGTAACCAGTTGCCAATGACAAAGGCTTTCTGCCTGCCAACAATGTGATGGGCTCCCAGAAGCTCAACAGCTTGTGGGTGTGAATGTTTGGGCAGAGGCCCTCGGTCTGCAGAAAGGATGGAGCTGTCCTGTTCTTCTCACTTCAGTAAGATAAAACTCATGTCTGTAAGCTGTGCCCCTCAATTGATGGGTCAGAAGTTATAAGTACAACCCAGTCATCCTGTGCTTCCTGCAACCAAGTGGGAGTACCTGGAGAAGCAAGATTGAGGAACAGGATGAGCTAAGAGGGTTATCTTAGTGAACCTGGTGGGCAGGGACTGTTGAACTGTCTTCCTGGTGTTAGCTCCTTTTTGTTTGTAAACATCTGTAAGAGTGTGGGTTAAGTATTATAAGATGGTTAAAGCTTTAACTAGTAGAGTTATATGTCAATGAGTCATAATTTTTTTTAAAAATTCATTCAAGGATGAAGGTGTCGCCAGCTGGAACAGCACTTATTGCCCATGCCAGAGGGCAGTTAAAAGTCAGCCACATTGCTGAGAGTTTGGAGTCACGTGTCGTGCAGACCTAGAAGGATGGCAGTTTTCTTCTCTAAAGGACATTAGTGTACCAATATTTTTCCAACAATCAGAAGTGGCTTCATTAGACTGTTAATTCCAGATTTTTATTTATAATTGAATTTAAATCCCATGACAGGAATTGACCAATGTCTCAGGTCATTACCTGGAGTCTGTGGATTAACAGTACGATGACAATACCACAAGGCCACCTCCTCCCCAATATCTGTAGGTAGAATTTAAGAATTATTATTACTACAACAACAGTTAAATACAGAAACCTGGTTTGTACTTTGTTGATGTTGGGCTAAAAGACAGTTTATTTAGGAAATTTCACATTTTTGTAAAGTCATTAGCTTTTGTAATGACACCGAGAATAGTAGGGCTCGATTTCCAGTACACTAGCCCAGTAAGGCATAACAGTTAGTTAGTGACTTATCCAGTCACATAGAAGCTTTTCAGGAAGATTAGTGAAGGTAAACCAAAGAAAGATTTGCAATGTCAAAGAACCACTGAAGGATGGTTATAAGTACGTAAAGAAATCCATGCAGATTGACAAAGCTTACGGGTCCCAAGTACAAACTCAATGCTTTAGCCTTATGTCAATGGAGCAAAATAATTGACTAAGGTTTACTCACATTTGGAAACATTTGCAGTTATACAGGGCCTTAGTGAGGCCACACCTGGAATATTGTCTCCTCTTCTGAGGAAGGATGCTCTTACTCTCAAGCAAGTGCAGCAAAGGTTTACCAGGCTGATTCCAGGGATGGGGTGGGAATTGACATGAGGAGGGATTGACTAGGTTCGGATTGTTTTCAGTGGAGTTCAGATGAACGAGGGGCAATCTTAGAGACTTTTAAAATTCTAACAGGGCTAGACAGGGTAGAGGCAGGGAGGATGTTCCCGATGATGGGTGTGTCCAGAACCATGGATCACAGTCTGAGGATTTGGGGTAGACCACATATGACAGATGAGGAGACATTTCTTCACCCAAAGAATGGTGAGCCTGTGGAATTCATTACCACAGGAAGCAGTTGATGCCAAAATGTTGAACATATTCAAGAGGCAGTTAGATACAGCACTTGGGATGAAAGGTTATGGAGAGAAAGCAGGATCAGGCTGCTGAGTTGGATGATCAGCCACGATCGTGAAGACTAAAGGAGCAGGCTTGAAGGGCTGAATGGACTCCTATCTTCTATATGTTTCTATTTATGGAAATATTAGCAAGAGGCAGCATGGCTTTATGTGGGGGAGTCATGTCTCTCAAACTTGATTGAGGTGTTTTTGAGGAAGCAACAAAGATGATTGAGGAGGATGGTGTGGTAGATATTGTTTGTATGGACTTTGACAAGGTCCCTCATAGCAGGATGCTACAAAAGGTGAAGTTACATGGTATCCATTGTGAGCTGGTAAAACAGATACAGAGCTGGCTTAGTCATAGAACACAGTAGCGATAAATAGGTATTTTTCTGACTGGAGATCTGTGACCAGTTGTGTTCTGCAGGGATCAGTGCTGGGGTCCTTGTTGAGATGTGATTTGGAGGAGAATGTAGGTGGCCTGATTAGTAGGTTTGCAGATGACACAAAGGTTGGGGGAAGCTGTGGATAGTAAGGAGGATTGCCAGAGGATATAGCAAGATTTAGATAGGCTGGAGAAACAGCAGATGGAATTTAATCTAGGCAAATGTATGATGCATTTTGGAAGATCTAATGAAGGAGGAGAGTATACAGTAAACCCTTAGTATCGTCAACATGCAGAGGGTTTGAGGCGTACAGGTCCGGTTTCCTGATAGTGGTAACACATGTTGATAAGGTGGTCAAGATGTGTACGGCATGCTTGCCTTTATTGGTTGGGGCATAGATTATGAAGATTGGCCAGTCATGCTGCAGCTGTATGAACTTATTAGCCCATATTTGGAATATTGTCTACAGTTCTGGCTGCCACACTACTAGAAAGTGGTGGAAGCTTTGAAGAGGGTACAGAAAAGTTCAGGATGTTGCCTGGTTTGGAGGATATTAGCTGTGAGGGGAGATTGGACCAACTTGGTCTGTTTTCATTTGAACATTGAAGGAGGAGGGGCAACCTTATAGAAGTTTATAAAATAATGGGAAACATGGGTAGAATGGATAGGTGGAGTCTTTTTCCCAGTGAATATTCATTATTGGCTCTGAATTACAGAGGCAGGTATCAATATACTGTCTGAGAATTTTAAAAGAGCATGTACCCACAGCTTTGGGAAGATGTGACAAAATGTATGAAAGTAAAGTAAAAGTTTAAGCATACAATGGTTCACTCATCCCATGTGCAGGATCAATCACATTGGAGTGCAATTATAGTCAATCTACATGGACATTGTGGACTTCTCCAATGTAGACATTGCTGGACTAGCAATTGCAGGTACACCATCACCTCACTAGTCTTTATTCATGGAAGCTGTCAGACACCACAGACTTTGCAAACAAACTATTCAAGTGGCAACTACAGAACTGAACATGGAAAAAGAACAGAACACTTCACTTTCAGCTGAATTAATAGAGCAAAATCACAACTCTCTGCTGTAGAGATAACATTGAAAGTTTACAATGAAAAACCTGAACAACTAGATCAGGATAAATCCAAACTTGAACAGCAGCTTTGAGATGGAAGAGTCCTTAGGGGACACCTCAACTCAGCTCAGCTCACTGAAATGAATGAAGAACTGAAAGACAAAGGAAGCAGGATGAATTATAAACTTTGTAGCATAAATCCCATGAAGAGACCACCAGTTTATGTGAAGATCTGGAGAAAATCATATGCAGGAGTAGGTGAAGGGAGATCCAGAGAGTCATCTTACCTGGTGTTCCCAGAGAGCTATCAGATCTGAGAGGGAGCAGCTTGGAGTAAGAGGCTATATATCATGGGTGAGTTTCTAAGTCTCCACCACTTACCTGGGATTCAGATAGGCATACCGTTCAGCTGCTTGGAACCATCTCATTCTGAGTTTGAAAGGAGAACAGAATGATAACAACAGAAAATCTGACTTTAAATTGTGATAAATTAGAAAAGAATGTGATTTTAAAAAGACATGGCATTTTTTCACCCTATTCATTTGTGGGATGTGGGCATCACTGGCTGGCCAGCATTTCTTTCCCATCCCTTGAGATGAATTTAACTGAGGAGCACCAGTCAACAAGGGAAAGTTAGGGAAATATGAATTAATAGAAGCAATCCTAAGAACAGTAAGTTTAACATAAAGGAAATAATTTTCAGATATGAAAGTCCAGCTCAGTTGAATGAAAGTTATGGTCTGTAAAAGGAGGTGTTACAACATAATAGCAAGTCAAACTAATTCTGTCACTATCTCTGGATTCACAACACTGATCTTAAAACATTCAATGACCTTCAAAATTGCCCAATCATTTCTAACCAGACATTAGAAATAACAGATCTGGGACACTAAGTTTATAAAAATCAGAATTTAACTTTAGCAAAATACAAACAAACTATAACATAATCTAATTAATGTCTATGATGAAAGCCCAGTCTTCCTTGAATATAAACTCCCACTCACACCAATAGACCAAAAGAGTTAAGGGATAAATTGAAAAAAAAAAAACAATTTTCCAGTTTGATAACCATTTCAATTAGATAATCATGAAATCCTTTGACAGTTTGCATTACAGGCACATAACTTAAAGTCACCAGTCAATGCAAACAGCTTCAACAAACCTCTGGAGACTTTTACTCATTTTTACAGATTGGATTCTGAAATAACTCTAGAGGGCAACTCACTCTTTATTTACACATGGGACACCCTTAACACAAAACCAGCTCTCAGAGTGACCAGAACTTCTGACACTCCTGTTATATCTGTCAGCTGGGACTTCCTGATTGGATCAGATTAACAGCCCAAATCAGGGAACTTACATTCAACAAGATTCACCTGGCTGATGTCATTTCAATCACTACAGGTTCTGAAAATTCTCAACATGTTAATCGCTGTAGAATAACTAGAGAGAGCAAAACCAAAAACAGCTTCCCAGTCCAGCAGCTTATAAAGCAAAGAACTGCCTTCTGCTCAAAACTCAGCAGGAAACAATTTACACTTTGATTTCTCTTTCTTTTCCAATATTCTCTGTGAGTAAGTGGCCAGCACTGGTCCTCTCATGTTTGACCAATTCAAAATCCAACCATTTGACTGTAACCAAATCTCGGTGCCGAATCATCTACTGCATTATTAGAGCAGTAATTAACCTACATTAACTCTCCAGGCCAGTTTCCGGGAGTATACATCTTTTGTTTCCTTTTTTGTTTCAAAACAAGTTGTGTTCAGGGTTCAGTTGTCAACTACATTTCACAGTTCCAAATGAAAAATGAGAAAAATAAAAGAAGAATAGTGATGGTTTCAACAAAAGAGAGAAATCATGGATTCTTCAAGTCACCTAGATTATTACATGTGTTGGAAGTGTTGCCAGCTGCAGAAGCCTGAGCTCTGGGTTTTGGAGATGGAACAGTGCCTGGAGGTACTGTGATACTTCTGTGAGATTGAGAATTATGTGGATAGTATGTTCAAGAAGGTGGTCACTTCACATTCAAGAGCCTGGAGGCAGGAAGGGGATGCATAGCCATCAGGCAGCCCAAGAGAAACACAGAAATAACGTAGGACTCTCCTGGGATTCCATTCACAAACCAGTTTTTCATTTTGGATGAATGAGGAGTGCAGTTAGAACCATGTTTATGGCACCACAAGTGGCTTGGCTCTGCAAGAGGGAAGGAAGAGCAACAGTGCTAGAGAACTCATTAATTAGGATAACAGTCATGCTTTTGTGTGGCTGTTTGCGTGACCCCAAGATGTTATGGCTGCCTCCCTGGTGCCAGGTTAAGGATGCCGCAGAGCAGCTACAGGACATTTTTACGGGAGAGGGTGAACAGCCACACAGTACACATTGATCCAAAATTAGCTGAGTAATCAGAAACAGAGGGATGAGGGTCAAAAGTTATTTTTTGAGCCGGACTAAGGTTTAAAGTGGAAAATGTTGGGACTGTTGCTTTTCCTGATATATATTAATGATCTAGATCAAGAGACAATTTCAAATTTTGCAGACGATACAAAACTTGTAAACTGTGAGTGGGACAATATTCACCTTAAAAGGACACAGACAATTTGTGGATAGGTGGCAAATGAGTTTCAATGGGGAGAGGTGTGAGGTGTTGAATTTTTGGACAATGAATATGGACAGATAATATAGAACAGGAGTTACAATCCTTGAGTGTGTCAGAACAGAGGGATCACATATATATTTGCCTAGATCATTGAAGGTGGCAAGACAGTTGGAAATAACAATTCATAAAACATAGCCAATCCTTGGCTTTATCAGTAGAGGCATAGAGTACAAAAACAAGCAGATTATGTTGAATCTATACACAACCCTTTTTGACCTCAGCTACAATATTAGTATTGTGTACAGTTCTGGGTGGCACAATATAGGAAAGATGTGAATGCATTGGAGCGAATGCTGAAGAGATTTACAAAACTAGTTCTGGGAATGAGAAACTACAGTCCTGAGGATAAATTGGACATGTTGGGCTTATTCTCCTTGGAGAGAAGAGCTCTAAGAAGAAATCTGATAGATGTTTTCAAAATCATGTGCAAGCAGCATAGAGTAGATAGGAGAAGCTGTTTCTGCTCACAAAAGGATTGAGAATGAAAAAGCACAGATTTACAATGATTTGCAGATGTGAGGTGAGAACCAAATGTGAGGTGAGAAAAGACTTTTTCATGATATGTGTGTTTCGGGTCTGGAAAGCATGACCTGGAAGTGTGGTAAATGCAGAATCAATTGAGGCATTCAAGAGGGCATTGGATGATTATTTGAATAGAAACAAGGTGGAGAAAAGACCGATGACTGACAATACGTTGGAGAGCTGGTGCAGACATGATTAGACAGTGGCATCCTTCTGCGTCATAAGAGTGCAGTGATTTCGTGAAAACAGATCAGTCTCAGCGGCAGCTACATATACATTGGCTTGAGCTCTAAGCAATGCCAGAAATAAATGACTGACTTGCAAAAACAGGTGGATATCCATAATGTGCACAACAAGGAGCTACAAATCAATCATGAGGCAGTCCTTTCAGAAATAAATACCAACAATGATGCTCTAATGGAAGAACTCAGCCAGGACGTGAAGGAAACCAAGCAATCACAGAAGCCCCGTATGTGAAAGAGGCCCAGGCTTCAAAGAAAACAAAGAAAATAAATTGAATAGGCTGGACAATTATTGGAGCAGGCTATAACAGAGAACACATATTGGTTCAAAACAAGACTGAAACTTTGATAGAATAAGAAGAATCCAGGTTGTTAAATCAGAAGCTTCGAAATGAGCTGGAAGCTCTTGAGGAAGAAAAGAGTTAATGCCAAGATGATTTGAACTGCACAAAACAGCCTTAGAAATGAGGTCAGTCTGTAGTGAATCTGGTGCAAAACTTGGCTGTGTGGGAGTCAAGATCAGCAAATTCTGGAACAGTAATCGCATTGCATGAAAAAAAATCCTTAACAACAGAAACCAGAAAGACAGACAAATCACTGTCGACTGACATTTAATAGCACCTCCAGGCAGAGTCACCCAGATGAGATCTGGATATATCAGCAATTCACATATTTTATCAATATGCATAGGTCTACAAATTATTGTAAATCATTAAACTTTTTTCTGGAAAGGAGAATGTTGGGGTAGCTGTATCTTGCCTTGAAGACCATTCATCTCTAATGACTCCATATGCTGTGTGTATAAATTGTTGCAACCCTGCCCAGCAGTTAGTTTTCTGTGTGTCTGAAAGTTGCATGCAAATTTTTTCGCTGTAATGCCTGCTTCATAGTTTTTAATGTGTTTTACTGTTTTGAATGAACTAACCCATGGAATTAATCACTGCTTCATGAGCAATTGATTTTTAGGTCATTGTTATGGACATGACAACCTCCAACCCCACACACTCCCTGTTCACCCTGACATTCTTCAGTCTGTTCCCGTTTAATAATGGGAGTCTTTATAATTCGGATTCTAACTTATAAGTCTCATCCCTAAGACCATTCCTGTAAATCTTTCCTGCAACTTCTCAAATGATCTCAATTCCATCATGAAATGTCGTCCCCAGAATTGAACACAATACTCACTTGAGCCCAAACCAATGTATCATAAAGGCTTGGCATGATAATAAGTAGTATTCGGAAGTAATCAATTATCAAGTGACCCCCACATTGCCCAATGTATTCAAAAGGAATGTTACTTACTAAACCTGCTTGATGGCGCTGTTGCAACAGTAACCTCCATTTTCAGCATAAACTGAGTTAGATAATCTCTGCAAAGCTTACTGCAAGTTATTTTATGTGGGGCTGAAGTTGTTTTTTGTTTTCTTTATTCATTCACGGGATGAGGGCCAGGCAGTATTTATTGCCCATCTTTAATTGCCCATCTTTAATTGCCCAGATGGCTGTTAAAAGTCAACCACATTTTCTTGGATTTGATTCACCCAATCTCTGCCTGCAGGCCTGAAATTAAATGATATAAACAGAATTTACATTCTTCTTGTCAGGATTATAATCAAATTCCAGGCACACACTGAAAGATTATTTCATTAATTCCCCATCATAATATTTACAATAACGTGTGCAAATTAATTTGACAAATACTTAGTTGCAGGAAATGTCCACAGATGTAATCTTGGTATCATATGTTATTTGGTCATCAGCCAAAAGTGATGAGCTAACTGAGAGATGCAGCATAAATGATAGCTTAGATGTTGCAATAGATCAGCATATTGTTCTGGAACGTAACTGTAATACCCACAGGTTTAAAAGAAGCTGAGCATTTTAGTTTTTAAGCGCAGATTGACAACAGATAAATAACTGGAATTGTATATCACTGTGTAGCTTTTTGAAAAATGCATTTTGAATGCTTCATTTTCCATGTTCAACAATTACAATTGCATGAGGGAAGCCATTTGTGCTAAGTGTAAAGTTCATTGTGTAATTTTGCTGCAAATGATAAAAGGGCACTGAAACAAACTGGAACGAGAAATGCTAAGAGATTGTATGAACATGTTATTAATTTATCAATAAAGTGCTAAATTCTGTGTAAAGGAATACAAGAAGATCCCAAAGGTACATTGTTAGAGTTTATATGCATATAAGACAGCTAGAGTTTAACCTCCAGAAATGCTGTTCCTGCAGCTGATCTGCTAAAGGTCTGGCACCATCCAGTTTTTGACCTGCCTGCATTTTGCAGCAATGATCCCATGGGGCTGGGGATATGGACAGTCTGGTCAAACTGTTGGAAGAGAAACATTTCTGTGCTGGCCTGCTCTTGCATTGATACGTCTTTTCCCTTTAGCAGTTTGGTCCTTGCTAATCCTAACTGTCAGGGGAGTCGATGGCCTAGTGGTATTATTGCTGGACTGTTAATCCAGAGACCCAGATAATGTCCTAGAGACCCGGGTTTGAATCCCGCCATGGCAGATGGTGGAATTTGAATTCAATAAATATCTGGAATTAAGAGTCTTACGATGACTGTGAATCCATTGTCAATTGTTGGAAAAGCCCACCTGGTTCACTAATGTTCTTTAGGGAAGGAATCTGCCATCCTTACCTGGTCAGGCCTACAGGTGACTCCAGACCCACAGCAATGTGGTTGAGTCTTAACTGCCCTCTGGGCAATAAATGCTGCCTAGTCTGTTACACCCACATCCTGTGAATGAATAAAGAAAAAAAAAACCCTAAGCACTTCCCTCCGCTTCCACCAGTACATGCAAAGGACCAGAACAGGACAGAAGCTTA